AATAAAGGAAACTCAAATTCAATAAAATGATAAGAAAGCCATTAAAATGATAAGAAACTCCGAGAAATGAATAAAATGATAAGAAAGCCATTAAAAGCATGCATTTCTCAAAACTAACACAAAAACACGCGAATCGAGAATTATTCTCTAAAAACACGACATAAACGACTATAAAGGAGCATAGAAATATAAAGAAAACATAGCCTAAAGGTGCCAGAAATGGCACGGATCACTTGCAGGAGGTCATCAAAACAATCGGTTACTTTCAGAGACGTGTGCTTGACGGTGCAAGATACGCATTTCTTAACTCTTTTATCTTCTTAACTAACGATAGTTTTGCAGGTATTGGCGTTTCAAGAGTGGTTTAGGATCGCGGAACGTTCTGAATCATTCTCCGTCCCTATTGCTACTTTGACTTTTGTTTTCGAAACTTGCGTTTCTCCAAACTTAGTCAAAGTGGGGGCTTCTGTAGACACCCATTTGTGCCTCCCCAAAACCAAACCCAGTGATGAGTACCTTTCGCGTCGAATCATAATCTAATGAAGTGAAAGTGTGGAAAGTTTAGTGTTGCGGATAGTTTTAATTTTCTTTTCTCTTCTCTCTGTTTTTGAAAACTTATTTTAAGAAAACAGCCAATCCAGTTTGGTTGTTCCATTATATGGGTCCAATAGTAGTGTTTTTGGATAGGGCTTGACAAGAGCTTTCCAACGATATATTATAAGCCCAATTCTGATGAATATTTAGGAAATTATGGTCAATTTACTAAACTGGGCCCGATTTGAGCCTTATATACGGCCCAATGATCTAGGGGGGGGGGCCTAATAGGATTTATCATTCCTAATGCAATTAGGAATGGTTTTAGTCTTCTAGATTCTTCTAGAAGGTTATTTTCATTTCTAATTCAATTAGCATTGATAAATTAACTTTTGTTGACTTTTTAGAGTTTTAATTAAAATCAAAAAGCATTTTCGAGGAAAAGATACGATTTTATCCTCCAGTACGACAAATTTATCTGATTTTCGAAAACGCGTCAAAAACAGGACTAGCGCTTGACTCGGCATTGGCGCCAGGAGCTAGGCCTGGCGCCAATCAGCTGGTGCTGGCGCCAGCTCTGTTTCACGTGCGCCAATACTCTGTTTTGTTAATTTTATCTTTTTGGCTGATTTTCTCTATAAATAACGTATTAAAAACTCCATTTTCATTCATCAATAACCAGTTTTCATTCGCAATCATCAATTCTCTCATTCTCTTTAATCATTCACCATCTCTTTCTCTCTTTTTCTAAACTAGCTTTTCAAATACAAAATTCCGCATTCATTAGATCTAGATACACCTAGCCATATTCGAAGTTGCCTTCTCCCTAGACGTGAAAGGTTTAATTTCTGAGGGTTTGGTCCCAAATCTCTCTTTCAATTATTTAATTTGATTGTTTGTTTATTATTTTCCTTGAAGTTACTAACTGTAGGCGTCGTTCGAAGTGCGCCTACGTTAAGCATGTGTAAATATTCTTGGCACTCATAGGAAGTGAGAATTGACATAATACGATTAGGGACAAGGAAAGTAGGGAGCCGCCAACAAGTTTTTAAGGAACTTGTAAACCGTTCACGGATCATTTAAGGCAACCACGATTAAGGGACAACGAAGGCAACAACGATTGACCCGTGAAGGTTACACCCCATTCATAATCCATGAGATTACTAACTCCATATGGTTCGGAACCACGAAAGGAGGATCGGGGATGATGGTACGAAGTGAGTCATGGAGTCACATTCGCTCGTATTGGCCTCTACTCGATTCTTATATTGAAAAGCATTCCTGTGATCTCAAAGGCATACAAACAATAATTCAATTCGCTCCAAACTATTATTTAACTAAATTGGTTGAATATTAATGCACACATAATTCTAAAATATGGTGATCACTTGAATTAACAACAAGATTAAAAAGGAACCTAAACCAGTTGTCCAAATTATCTTATTAGGCGTGATTTTCAATTACATATTCCCTTTAAACATGCAATATAGTGATCAAAATAAAAAATAGAACAACATTAATATTAAACCCAAATTAATCACAATTCCAACAACATAAAATCGTTAGAAAAATAATAATAATAATAATAAAAGGAGCATGATCCTTACTTTGAATCTGTTTGTTTGCAAGTACAAAATAATAAACGAGTTAGTAACTTCAAGAAAATAATAAAATAACTAAATTAAATTAAATTAAATGAAATAAAGTTGATTTTGGGGCCAAACCCTCAAACAGTTCTACCTTTCACGCCTTGGCTTAAGGACAGAACCTCGAGTAAAATATGGACTCCTTTGAGTGCTTGAAGAAGGAATTTTGAAGTGAAAAGGGTAGGCTAGTGTTTAGGTTAATAACATAGAAGAAAAGAAATAATAATAATAAAATTCTCGGTGCACCGTACATCAGAAATGAAGGGGTATTTATAGGGAAAATGTGCTGAGGGAGTACACGGAACCCTAAAATGATAAAAACCCTAAAAAAGTATCCCGTGACACGGTCAGACTGTACCGTGACACGGTAAGACTGTACCGTCAGACGGTACACTTTCCTGTGACACGGTACACTTTTGGAGTGACGCGGGAAATTTTCAGAAAACGGGATGAAAAACACATTAAGGGTTTACGCGGAAAGGACACGGAATGTCCCGTGTCACGGCAGACCTCCCGTGTCACGGGAAGTCCCACCGTCAGACGAGAAGGGTTCCCGTGACACGGTGGCAGTCTGCCGTGGCGCGGGAAATTCCAGTCCATTTTCCGTCTAAATTCATTTTTAACCCTAATTTCTTTCGGCTTTTTTAAGTGTCGATTGATAATTTCGGGCCTTTTTCCGACTTTTATTATTCGGGATAAAATAAGAAAATAATTAAATAAAAATAAATAAAAGGTTTGGGCCAAAAACAAATAATAAAACAATAAAATCAAAAGGCTTGGGCTAAAAATTAATTAATAAGTTTGGGCTGAAATTAAAACTATGCTTTTACCAAACATCAAGACTAATACATGGATTGTTCAAAAATATGAATACAATACGATTTTTTAAGCACTCTCGGGATTAAATACTGAACCCGACCAATAGTGGCGGTGAAAGGTTGTTCATCATCGGGTTTGGTTTTGGGGAGACATTTTTAGGTGTCTACACTAACGTGTGTATTTTGTTATTAGAAAGAGGTACGAGGCATCAAAGTAAGTACTTTAATGGTTTTCGTTGGCTTTATGATGTAGACATCATGTTTACATCGTTATTATGATATTCCTAGTATCATGTCTAGGGTAACTTTGATATTAAATATGATTGTTACGATGCTTCCTATTTCTTCTTAATATTTATGATTGTTAGTATCATGTTAGGGTTAAAGATTTGATTTTATTGTTTAGTGACATGCTAGGGTTTGTTATTAATCTAGTTAGTATCATGCCTGGGATCTTTCTATTATTATGCTTTAATATTAACATGAACATGATTCTGATTATAATTGTTATAATTTATGATGATTATGAATATTATTATTATTATTATTTTGATTATGATTATTTTATTTATGGTTATTATTGTCAAGATTATGATTATAAATTTATAATTATGAATATTATTATTATGATTATTATTCATGATGATTATAATTAATTTATTATGTTGCTTGATATTTATTTCTTGATCACACCTTTTATGCATGTTTAAAGGGAATTTTGGTACTTGTAATCACGCTTAATAAGATAATTAATAATCTTATTTAGGGTTAATTTGATTATAATTCAAGTGATCGCCAATAATAGTTTATTTGTGCATTAATATTCAACCAACATAGATAAACAAGTTAAGGTTAATCCTATTGATTGTATGTTATTCAAAAAGCGCACATGAATGCGATCAGAATAAAGTAGAGGCCTATTATTAGGGCAGGTTCAATCTCTTTTAGGTTGGATTTATACCTTCATCCCCGAACCCTTATTTGGTTCTAGACCTTATGGAGTTGACGATCTCTTGGATCGCTAAGGGTTGCAACCTTCACCCTGTGAACGGTTTACAAGTTCCTAAAACTTGTTGGCGACTCTTTTGCTCTATCTTCTTCCCTTTTGGACGCCACTGTACTTTAGTGTATGGTCACAGTGGGGTTCAAGCATGGGGTTAACGTTTGAAATTTATTCCGTACAGGGACCTTACCACAAGGATGATTATTTATTTATAGGAAAATTTGTCCAAAACAACCTTTTAAAGTGACCTTTTTGTTCAAAAAAAACCTTTTAAAAATTTTTAGCCAAGAGAAACCTGTTTTAATTTTTTTTTGTTCAAGATAGCCAGCTCATACATTCCGGCATTGACTGAACATTTTTCGGCGTTCACCACGTGTGTACCCCCATGTGCGTGGCACATGACCCCTGATTCCCTAATTACACCTCTTTTTTCCTAATTTCACACCCTTTTCCCTCCAATTACACACACTCTCTCCTAATCTTTCTCTCTATGTGAACACATCGAGGCCATTAATCTTCTCTGTCATTGCTGCGACATCATCAATGAGGAGCTGAAGCTGCATTAACTTATCACTAAACACAAAAACAGTAAGTTTTGAATTAAAAATGGGTCCATGAAGTCATCTTCGCATCAAGAAAACCACAACCACACCTCATAACACCTCCTCGACTCATATTTGCTGCATAATTGAGAAAATTTAACAAGGGGAAAAAAAACCCCTAATTTTTAATCAAGAATCGAAAAACTCTGAGGTTCACAAATTAATCACTTACCTGTGGTCGAAAATTGGTGGGAAAGCCTTCTATTGCTTTGACTGTGCTACACTCAAACAATGGGGTAAGAATTTGAAACCACAGAGCAGAAAAATAGACGAGATAAAATACAGAGAGTAAGAGAGAGAGAGAGAATAGGAGAGAGAATGTGTAATTGGAGGGAAACAGATGTGAAATTAGGAAAAAGGGGTGTAATTAGGGAATTAGGGGTCATGTGCAACGCACATGGGGGTAAACACGTGGTCAACGCCGGAAAAAGTTCAGTCAACGCCGGAAAGTGTGAGTTGGTTGCCTTGAACAACAAAAAATTTAAAACAGGTTTCGATTGGCCAAGAAAAATTTAAAAAGTTTTTTTAAACAAAAAGGTCACTTTAAAAGGTTGTTTCTGACAAATTTTTCTTATTTATAATTTAAATTACATTTTACAATTGACTGTACCTTATTGCAAATAATTAAAGTTTCTTATTAGAGCATGTGTTATGTGTCGGAGTCGAATAATTTGATAGACTCGGATTTTTTTAGGATCTGACTCCGACTCATCTTCGACTCGAAGTCGGATTAATTTAACGTAGTCAAATCCTTCGTACTTTCTTCTCATACTCGGAGCGTAGTAGTATCGAATCCGGACTGGATTGCCATCCCTAAGAGCTGTTGTCCCATTGACAAAAGAAACAAACATGTAAATTTAGAAATAAGAGGTGTTATCTTTCTTTTGTAATTTGATTTAAATACACGGGTCCATTCTTAACATTGGATAAATAGACCACTTCACAGGGTCTCTATTCAAATGGTCCAGATATTAAACCTAATATTCTAATTGTAACATCTTATTTGTTATAATAAACTAATTGTAGATGGTAAAATGGTCCATTCATAAATCTCCAACTAAAAACACTTCTTATCTTCCTATATAGAATTATTTGAATATATATCCTTACAGAAATTAAATAGAGAGAGCCCTGGTTCTTCATCTTGATAAACAAGAGGAGGACCTATAGTGGCAATTTTGTAATAGTGAAAGTAACGACATTGTTAACATCCAACAATGGCTTGTACCTTCGGCCCAAGTACTCCCTCTGTTTTTTTTTTTAAGCATCACTTGTGTTTACACGAGGTTTAGGAGAATGAATTAGGTATAATATAATAATGTGAGTTGATGAATAATTTATTTTGGTAAAAGTAATGTGGGGACCATGAAAGTGAAATTCTGTGAGAGAAAGTAGTGGTGACCATGAGAGAGAGAAATGATAAATTATTTGAGTGGGGTTCAAATTAAGAGAGAGAAATAATAAAATAGAGTATAAATTTACAATATATAGAAGTGATGCAAATAAAAAAACATCTATAAAAGGAAATTGATACAAATAAAAATAAACCGAAGGGAGTAATATACACTAAATAAGCAGTAACTATAACACTAATCGCAGCCCGGGACATCGCCCGGTGTTTGCACGCTGGATGAGATTCTTAACACGTCTGTGAAATGCAAAAAAGGACTTTCTAGTTTAATATTGATTTTGTTCGTGTTCAACGACCATAGATAACATTAAAATAGAATATTCAACTTTTTTTGGAAGCCAAAGTGTTTTTATGAAAATAGTTCAAGCTAATAATTACGGGCAGTTTTTGATGGTTCATTTATGGGGGCCTATCACTATGTTAGTACTTTTTTTTGCCTAAATTAATACACAAAGTGGTCCAAAACTCTTCCTCTTCCGTCTTATTCATTTCCCTTTCTTCTTGTTTCGGTAATGTACTTTGTCATTTAGTTACTTAAAAATGGCTAGTACTGACAGCATCCAAAGGAGAGCAACATCCACAAAAAAAAAACTTTCAATCCACCTCCAAAACCTGATTTAACAAAACCCCTTCATAAAACCATTAAAGCTTTCAATGAACACTTTGAGAAAAAGTAGAACGAAATTAATTCATGCCGTCAAAAGCTTCGAGGTGGGAGATTTGCTGGAGAAGTTGGAGAGCCAAGTGCAAAAGGCAAGAGGAAGAACAAAGGTGGTCCTAAGAGTCCAATTATCATCCTGTCTGACAGCGATGAAGAATTTAAGGCTGATGACGGTGGTAGTGACGGCAAGGACAACGACCAGGAAGGAGACGAGCAACAAGGAGATGCAGTGAAAGAGGAAGCTTGGGCTAATCAGGTTCAACAAGGTGGTTCAGTTGAAGAGGAAGAAGAAGAAGAGGAGGAGACTACTGAAGACACTGAGTCGTCATCTGACGTTGACACTGAGGAAGCGCGACACAGGAGGCCAGTTGATCCGTTCGATGCTTATGGCTATGATGATGAAGGCGATTGGGTGAAGAGGCCAACAGAAACCCATACTAGAACTACAATAAATACAAGTGATATAACTCTGAGCTTAACATGGATGACTCGGAAGACTATCTTGATGGTAGTACAGGCGGTAGTATGTATCGTCCCAAGTCTCCCTCAGCGATTCTAGATAATTGAAGGTAAGGGTTTCAGATATTGAAATTTGAAACGTTTTTTGTTTGGTTTGTGTATATACCCTATGGTAGTTTAGAAGATTAATTTTTTGGGAGTATTAGCTCTATTTGACTATGGATAATTAATGGTTTTGACAAATCAAACGATAGCTATGGTGATGTGCTTTTTTTTGTTTTGCCATCGATTCAAATCATTTGATTTGGGCAGGATGTAATTAGAAGCTTTTGCTGGATGTAATTAAACTAATTAGTCACTAGTGGATGTAATTAGTTCTGAATTTAGCATATAATATGGTAGTGATGTTTATTCCTATGATTTATTCTTTGTTGATGATTATAAGTCTCAATCATGATAGTTCTATATGCTATTTATCTGCGTAAGATATGTTTTGTTAGTTGAATGGATTGCATGACTGTAGACGTTTTGAGTTTATTGCCATATCTAATTGGAAGTAGCAAAGTTTGTTTGAAGATGTTTGATGCTTCTATTTGGGGAAGGTTCGTGTCAGAATTGTGCATGATATCCTAACCCTCTATCGTTTGTGTCATTTTTAATTAAATTCATTTCGACATCGAATTTTTAATTTTGTAATTATTAGTCTGACCTTATTGTTTGGTTAGAGGAGATCATAGTTATGTAATGGATTCACTTAATTAACGTTCCAATAAAGCTCGGATGTTGCATTCCAATAAGGTTACCTAATTCGTTCCTTTACCAATTCAATGAGTTGCATTCAGATTGTAACCATACACCTCAAGCATAGTGTTTTCTAATTGCTCTCTAATTTGTGTCCACCTCATTTCAATGAAAGAAGATTGTGGGTGAAGCATTACACTTATGGGTTCATGAAGGTGGTGTTACATAATACTTAAGGTTAATAACAAGGTGGTGTTCAAGTTTCAAAATTTCCCAACTCTGCTAGGATTGGAAAATATCACTGGTGTAGGTACAGTTAAACCAATAAATCAAAACAAACCGCCATTTTCTAATTATCATCTAGCAAGGCTATGCAATTACTTAGTAGACAAAACAAGACATCGTAGTAATTAGACCACTAGATATTGTCACAGTAAAGAAAGAAACAAACATAATTCTCGTTTTGTAGAGTACAATGCCGCTATTCAAACAAATGTAATTTTCGTTTTGTAGAGCACAATGCCGCTCTAACAAAATGCTGCTAATCATGACCTCATAACTAACTGACAACATTGTTCAGTCGTCCTACCTACCACATCAGAGTACGAGTGGACATACGAGCTAAAGACGTAGAATCATCATGAAGATCTTCTTCTGGAATTGGCATATCTATGTCTATACCGAAATTCCCACTTATGGGAGCGATACACTTTGCAAACAAGGGTGCCCCAGTGTGATTAGGTCTCCTTTTCCTTCTAGGTTTCACTTGCGACGTTTCCGCTGATCCAATAACACATACCTGGTCACAGTCGGGGACGTATCAAACCACAAAATCATGAATATCAGACAATGTATAGAACAATGCTTGCGATTACTAGTGTTTTCCAGAAAATGGGCTCCGGTAAAAGGACCGTCACTATCCCGGGAATCCCTTGGATGTTTTTCCCTGTACTCCATGTCCAATATATAAGCATGGACACAAACATTAGTCTAATTGCAATAGGAAAGAATAATTACTTAACACACAAGAGATGTGAATCTATCATTAATTACCCTAGCTTTCCGTAATCCCCGTTTGCATAGAGATGATCAGCCTTGATAGCAGCGCTAATGTTTTGCATATCCCATACACTCAACGTTGGATAAACAGACCACTTTACAGGATCTCTATTCAAATGGTCCAGATAATAATCCTATACACAAAAATGTAAATTATTTGAGCGAGATAGAAAGATATTTCACAATGTATGCTTCGAACGATATCAGTTCACTAACCATAATGAACAACAAACAACCTCCGCTGCCACCAACATATCCTGTGGCATTAAACCTTTTAGAAAAGCTCATGACACTACCCATAAATTTTGTAAATACGAGGTTACACCAGTCGTACTAATCACATTGCATTGTACAAGTTATTGCACGGAAAAGATCAGACAATAATCGTGGTGACTAAGTCGGGCAAAAAACCATGTGCAGGGACAAAAGGAGAAATAGTGTCTTAAATTCAGTTTCCTCGTCGTCTTCCTACTCACCCCAACTCATTCAATTGATCTAAGGAGGAGACTAGGTTTTTGAAAACTAATCTACCCTCAGTTAAAACAAAATTTGTAATCTCTCAACACACCCCTATACCAGGCATAGAGTAAGTCGAGGGTCGAACCACTAGGAATGGGAGGTGAATGCTAATGTCAAAGATAAGCTATTTCGAAGCAATGAAGTGAGGTGTATATTCTAAACAATCAAACAATCAAAAATGAAATCAAATCTATCAAGCACTAGGGCTAGGATCCGCATATAATCGGAATGGATATAGTTAATTGGGATTGGAGATGACTAAGTCGAGTATTGCGAGGGAAAATCAATTAAGAAATTAATAGAGTAAGGTACGCTAATCTCCTAGAGGTCAAGCTAGCGTCAACTACGAGAGTCTCTAACTAGGAACCTTGTAAACCTACTCAATCGACAAAAGCAAGCCACAAATCAATTTTCCGTATCAATGCGAGCTTAAAATGCATTCAAGTGTAACAATAAACGTTAGCTACTCTTCAATTAATCACACACATGAATTTAATCAACCAACCAATTTAATCACAACATCAACTCCATCAATTTCCCCCAATTAGCATCAATCCATTACTCATATATGCTTCACCATTCCCCTAACAAGAGAACTACTCACAATCCATTGAAATCAAGATCAAAACTAAGGTAATCAACAATTTCATCATCTTTATATCAATAAAACTAATTCAATCACAAATTTAATTCAAACTTGAACAATCAACAAAGCAATTGAAATGATAAGTTAAAGATTGCATTAAAGTAAAAGAAATCCTTACAAACTTGCTTCAATTCAATGGAGAAAATGCTAGAATTACCAATCTTCAATCATCAATCAAGAACTTCTCTCTCTAAAATTCTAATTCTAATTCTATTTTAATTTTAATTTTTAGAATAATATTCCTCTGTCTAAAAATAGAATGTAAATCTATATATAGTAAAACTAACTAAGAGAAGTTAGTTAGATCATCCCTAAATAAATCCGTACTGGCGCGGCCAACCATAAGGGAGAGCGCGGCCGCGCAAATCTTGGTACGGAACAGAGAACCATACAGGTGCGCCTGCGCCGCTAGGCCGGGAGGCCGCACCATAGCCGCGCGCGCCCACGCCTGGGACAGGGAAGCCCTCTCCTTATCAAGCCGATGCTCCTCGTGCGTTCCACTTAATGCTCTTGATAAACACGGGACCTTGCAGTTTCTAAACACCATATTTGTGGGTTTAACACGAGAAATTATGCCCATATGGCTTGAATGCACATCTTAAGGACTTTAGGAACTTGCACTTCTCCATGCTTGAGCTTCAAATAGAGAACATTAGACATCCTAATCAATGCCAAACTTGGGAAGAGGCCTCGAGAAACTTGGATAACGACCTTAACCTAAATAATAAAGGAAAATAAGCAAATAAAAGAGAAAATAACGAAATAAACCAAGAAATGCATAAAGAAAGAAATCCAACTAAGAAGATGCAAACTAAAAGAAATAAAGAGTAAAATTAAGGAAAAGCTAAGTGAAAGAGCTATAGAAGAACATGAAATTCACCCGAAAAAGAACCAAATGAGTGCCATAAATGACACTCATCATCCATTAGGCAAGAGTTTACGTGTATACCCTTAAAAGTGTATACCCTTCCTTTATATCTACTATTCGTGGTCGCCCATGAATGGCCGTATATGTTCAATAATGTTTTAACATCCAAACGCAGCTTATCATTCATATTCTTCTTCAACGGTACAGCTTTGCCATTGTTTGGAAGGCCTAAGATCCAATGTACTTGGTTTTGGGACAACTTTAGCATCTTACCATCAGGAGACAGTGGATTCTTGTTTAATGGAAACACGGCTCAATAGCCACTAGGCTAAGAGTTTAGGAAGTTGCATGCTTGTTGTTGGGTGAAGCAGTCAACCAAATCCCATGTCGTGCACCCACTTCTTTCTTTTTTCATCAAATTTCTGACATATTCTACCAAATGACTCAATACGGCATGTTACATTTGGTGCCTGCAATACATGTGAATACAAAAACTGTGGGTCAACAACATTCAACATAGAGACCATATTCTGCAAATGACATTACCATTTTTTAAAGTTAAAAGTATAAAACAGTAACAAACCTTACTCCTACCCCTTGCTTGATATAGCAAGACTTCACCTCTAGCTTTAACTAACCAGTCCATAGTCAAGTGATCATCCTGTTGAATACAAGCAGTAAGTGACCTATAAATAAAACTGGCAAAATCATACATCATAAATTAAACTTTGCAGTACCTCAAAAATCTCAAGGCTAAGTTCTACAAGTTTTCCATTATCTCTAACACTCAATGTTGTCCTGTAAACCTGGTTCAGGATGTAACATGAATCATCACAAGCTCTCTAAAATAAAATGGAATAATTAGGGTATCCGTTCATACCTGCTTAACATCCCTTCCCCCTTTTGAGCTTAGCCCCAATGCCTAAATTTTTTACCATAAAGTAATAATTAGTAAAGTTCTCGCTTTTATAATAATAAGTTGAAGTGTAATTTGTAATTACCAAATCCAGATCCCGATCCGTAGCCGCATTTTCTGAGGATGAATATCTCAAGTCCATTGCAATCCTAAATCTAAATAAACATATAATTTGTTGAATCATACAAGTCCAATTGCAGCAAAGTGAAAGAATAAAAAAAAAAAAACTCAATATTATACGGCAATTACCATACAATTTACCAATAGCCGAAATTATTATAACGGTACGAATAATCCCAATAGTTGTCAATACAAATTGAGGATAAATAATTGAATATACTAATGTATAAACCAATCCCACTTGTGGTACATTTGAATTGGTGTAAATATACCACTGTATTAGGGGTAGAATAACTTCGATTGTAACATTGTCTATGGAAAGTCTCCAACTGCATTAATGGAATGTGACCATTGATCAAGTCACTCCACTGATTCCTGATAACGTCGATTGTAACATTGTCTATGGAAATTATCCAACAGCAGGTTGAAAGGACGTACAAGTGAATGCATTTTACATACGAGTGTAAAAAAAATTGGTTTATTTAATCTGCTTATACATACCACCAATTGTATACATGTACAATATTTATGAGCTACCATTCCATGCATCTGACATATAGTGGGAACAAACTTGGGCAATGAAGAAAATTTCACATTAACACCAAAGTTTACATAGGGACAATTTTTTTACTCCTAAGGCAACTCTTGATTGCTTAACTTCTACTAAATCCTCTTTGGAATCCCTTCTAGT